CCTGGGGCTGGGGCAAGGGGACACAGAAAGAAGTGGTCCATCCTGGGGGAGGAAGAGGGGTGGTGCTAACAGGACACCCAACTAAGGCCCCAACTAGGACTACAGCTAGAAACACCCAATGATGAAGGAAACTGTAAAAGGTTTGATTTTGCTGTTAACCGACATCCATTTTTAAATTCAAGCCATTCTATTAAACCAAAATTTTGCGCCGATGCAAAGGGTGGAGCACTGCAGGGACCAGCCACCAAGCTGTGAAGGATGAGGCCACAGGCAGAGGACCACCTGCAGTCAGAGGCTGTCCCAGCGGCCTTGCTGACACACAGGAGCCACGACGGAGGATCCCTGTTTTCATACCTGGGTTGCAGTAGCCGGTTTCGAGGTTGCAGTGTAATTGTGCAAATACACATAATGGGCTAAAAGCTTTTTCTGCCATGATTGCGCACTTTCAAGTTAAGATGTCTAGACTCTAGAAATGCCATCAATCTGGTCCAGGTCAGGTACAGCACATTCCAGGTAAATAATCTTCCGCTGTAATTAAATGCTCGAAGGAAAGCGTTCAATAGTTTTCAGAGGGAAGGGCACGGAGGGCTCGGGAGTCCCGCAGCTCCCTGGCTTCAGGGGCCTGGAGGGCGGGGGTCCACTTACTCTGCCTGGAGTCCTCCTGCCCAAGATTTCCCCCAAGACAGTGGTGTCAGAGGAGATGACCCAGAGAAGCCACCAAGGCCCTGCCACAGACCCAGCACCTAGGGCCTCCAGGCTGTCACCTGGTCTCATGGAGCCTCATTTGTCCCATCCATAAAGTGGACCTGAGTGCCAGAGGGGGCCTGGCCTGCAGCCTATTCTCCTAAGGAAAGGCTCAAGGCAACTGAGACTCAGGTGGTGTGCCTCATGGCTGGGCGACTCTAAACCAGGCTCTGACTCTCTCCACCTATAAGTGGGGCTTTGTGCCCTCTGGGGTCTTCCAAGTCCTGGAGCTTAATGACCACCCCTGAATTCACCCTGGCAGCTTTGACTACAACCAGAGCAACCTGAGGCCTCCAGGCACCTGGGGGAGGAAGAGGACAGGCAGAGGGCTGGGAGAGCACTAGGCAGACCCTGCTGGATGAAGGCAGGCGGGCTGAGGGTGAGTAGGGACAGTGGCAGGATAGTGGATGCCGGCCAGTTTGGGGGACCCTGGCTATGGTGGCCAGGACTGGATCGTGGGGTCTCAAGTCACACTGAGCACATCCTCTGCTCAAAAACCCAAGTGCAGGGGCAAAGAAGGGTCTCAGAGCTTCAGAGGAGCAGGCTTTGGGCAAGCCTCCTCCAGGAAGCCTGCCCTGACCTCTTTCCTCCGTAGGTTAAGACAGCCCACATCAATTCCTGACCAGGTCATCAGAATATGGCCAGTACATCAAGTGTGGCCTTGAGAGGCCAGGGGCAGAGTCAGTGCTCTCTACGGAGTCTCCCAGACTCCTATGCTTCAAGGTCAAGACAGTGGATTAGAAGCTAGGGAAAGCAAGACCAGAGGGGGACAGCATGTAGTGAAGCCACACAGTGGACAAGGCTCTGACCTTACGGTCTTTTACCAAGCAGGACCTCTACCTGTACTTCCTGGCTCTTATCTACCATGATCACCTTTCTGCTTTTAACACTCAGTACCCAGGTCCCCTCCTCCACAGAGCCTTCCCTGACATGCCACCCCAAAAGATGCCCCACTTCCTCCTCTGGCCCCTGCTCACCCTCTAGCAGCCCTGCACCCCATGCATCTGCCCCAAGGGGGCCCTGCACTGTTAAGTGGACCATAAACTGGCCTCCCACAGGGTCAGGCACTCCCCAGGGACAGAGGTTGCTCTCTGTTACCCCAGCACCAGACCCAGGATGGTGCCTGGCACATAGTAGATGTTGAAAAGATGTCTAGGAATGCATGAAGGACTGAAGGTGAGGCGCTCCGGGAGAACCACCCAGAAGGGGAGGTGCCTGCACCATCCTCGCCCGGCTGGCGAAAGCTGCAGAATTAAGCACAAGTTATAATTAAGACGGGATGTTTGAAGAGAAACATAATCCCCGTTTCCGTGGGATCCGCGGGCACAACAGTAATTAACGTCTCATTAACATTCGCCTAATTAAGCAGTTTATGAAAGTGTATGGATTTGCATAGCGCCACGCCAAGCTCGCTCAGGCACGTCAAAATTAACCCCTCAGGTGCGGGAGGGCCCAGAAGTAGAAGACCAGCCTGGCCTCAAGAGAAGGGACAAGTGACCAGTCAGCAGAGGCTGGGGACGATGGCCTCACCTACCCTAGACCTAACCTTATCCAGCCCCACCCCACAGGTCCCTGTCTCCCCAGTCACTGGGTCAAGGTCAGCTTCTCAAGAAGGCCCTTTTAAGGGCTGGGGTTGTGGCTCAGTGGTAGAGCGCTTCCCTAGCACGTGTGAGGCCCTGGGTTCGATCCTCAGCACCACATAAAAGTAAATAACTAAAATACAGAACCAATAGAGGACGTTTTAAAACATAGGCCCTTTTATAAGGAAACAAGGGGCACTGATCCCCCCACCAATGGTCCCTAAGTGCAGCGTACTCCTCCACTGTGCTCCTGGGGCCCACTCTTCTCCCACCGTCTCCTTGGAACAGATCTTCCAGCTGAGAGCACATTTGTAGCTTCAGGAGCTTTGACCCTCCTAATGTCACTGGGCCCTGCAGCTCCCTGAGGGCTGCCTCAGCATCCTTCCCAGTCTACCCTGCGGAGATGGGCTCAGAGAGGTCCAGAGACTGCCCAAGGTCACAGAGCCAGAGAGGTAGAATCCAAACCCCTCCCACTTTCCCAGGCAGCAGGACTTTAGAAACAAACACCGCAGCCAGCCACATGCTCTCCACCATGGGAAGCAGCGAGCTGTTCCTTCTCACCTTCCCCTGGACACTAGTTAACCACCTCCCTGGAGTCTCCTCGACTCTGGGCCCAGCCACTGCTGCCGAAGCTGAGCATGAATCAAAGTCACCAGTGACCTCCCCGTGTGGGGAGGCCCCAGTGCTCCAAAAGAGAACAAGGAAAGGGGCCTTTTAGGATAGGGTTAAAGATCAAGTGAAATATTTCCCTCTAAAGCACTTTAAAGCCTCTCGCACGGCTCGCGTGTTAGATGTTGGTTAATTACCACCTTCCGGGACCCCCACTTCCTCTGTGTTCACACCCACCAGTTGTGCACCAGGGATGCCTGTCACCCCTCTGCCCATTCCAAGGGCAAATTGGGACAACTTTTCTCTGTGATAATGAAGCAATATACATCAAGAGCCTTAAAGGTGAGGAATTTAGCTTCATTACAATTTAAATCATCTGTGCAACAAAAGACATCACAAAGGGAAAGACAAGCCACAGACAGACCAGAAGAATAGACCTGCAGCACACCAGGAATGACAAAAAAAGAAAAAGAAAAAGAAATTCTGTTTCCAAGCTATATAAAGAATTCTGCAAATCAATAATTAAAAAAAGAAAAAAAAACCCAGCAAATCACCCACCTGTTTTAAAAGTCAAAGAATAAGAACAGGCAATTGTCGGATGAGCGAGGCTTGCCGACACACAGAGAGTCCTGAGAGACGCCAAGGAGGAGCATGAGAGCCACCTCCCATCGGGGGACACCCAAAGTCAACACTGCCCAGTGTCACACTGGAGCCACAGACCGCGCACACACTGCTGGGGGAAGCGGGAGCTGCTCCAAGCAATCGGAGAAACAGTTGGACCGTATCGTGTGGCCGGCCACCAGGCCACGCCACTCTAAGAGGCCTCCCACAGGCTCACGGAGAGCGTATGTTTCTGAGAGCGCAGAGGAACTCTGTCAATGTCCAACAGCATTGGGACGCACAGCGTGACCACAGCGGATTCCACATGTGCTGGGTTTACCCCCACTCCTTGGCAAAACCCATTACAATAAAGGATCTTTCTTGTACATGTCCATAAGGACCAAGAATGGAAGAAGAGGAAACAGCAACATCATTCTGGAAGCTGGAGAGCAGATGGGTGAGTGGTAATTGATTTGGCAGAGCTGAGGAAGCTGAGTCCTAAGTCCCTGTCCTATTACCTGGCAGAAGGCAGCCCAGGAACAGGCAGCCGGATACCCTGGACGGAGGAAGCAGGGGCTGTGGAAGAAACAGGTGGACCCCAAGGAGCGCCATCCCATCCCCAGCTCCATCCAAGACTGTGTGTGGGAGACCAACCTTACACGTGACTGAGTCACACTCCCCGGCTTGGTGCTGAGGCACTCAGTGTCTCGTGCATGGGTGTGTCTTGCTACAGCCCCATGGGTGAAGCTACGCTCACCTGTTCCTTTGTAATATAACCCCTTGCCTTGTTTAGGATAGAATCTTCCATAGAAGTGCCTTGTGTGTGTCCGCTTCTCTTACTGTGCCCTTGGGTGTGGCCTACCCAGATGTCAATCAACCTGCTGACAGTGGACATCATGAAGATAGACTCAGCCCCCTGAAACCTGACCCCTTGCCTCATTTGAATAGCTTCTCCTCAATAAAAGGGGTCAGCGTGTGTGTGTGTGTGTGTGTGTGTGTGTGTGTGTGTGTGTGTGCTCTCTCTCTCTCTCTCTTTCTACGGACACTTAAGGTCAGAGGAGCCTCATAGCGACCCCAAAGAAAAAGGTATTTGTGTCTCTTGTGTGGTTATTTCGTGCAGCCCAGTCAGCCCAGTTTAACTGGAGTGACCCCTGAGCCTTTTAGTCGCAAGATCAGAAACCCGGCAACTGTGGTTATTTTTTTTCCCTTGGGGAAGATCGAGCTGAGGGTCTCCGGGCTGGAAGACCCCAGGCTACACAGAAGGTGAAGACCATCTAAGGGAGTAGGTGAAAATTTGTACCCTGTAATTTGGGTCAGGACCCCAGCCTTCCCTTCCCACTTGGCCTCCAGAGACTCAGTCCTTTCAGGAGACTCTGTCATTGGGGCTCCCCGTGAACCAGACCCGACACAGACAAGCTCACCCAGGCGTCAGGGACACCAGCTTTTGGTGCCCCTGTGTCCTCCTACCTAGAGGCAATCCATGGAACACCACCAGACACTCGGAAACCAACTCCACCAGCTCAGCAACTTCTGACCACCGTGTTGTTCAGGGCTGGAGAGTGGGGCTGACACCCAGCAAAATCAGCTAAGTGGATGAATGCAGGAAATCTTCAATATGAAGCAGAGTCCCACACAAGGGAGCAAATGGGGGAAAACAGCAACTTGGAGAGATCAGAAGATGCAGAGAGCAGGAAACTTAAAAAAAAAAAAAAGTCTCATTAATTTTCCAGAAAAACAAAACATAATATCCATAAACAAGAAAGGAATGGAATATATTCTGAAGAACATACTCAGTAAATAAGAAATTTTTGAAATTTAATATTTATGGGGCAGGAAAAAAATTTTAAATTTCGTCTATTAGGACAAGATGACAAAATCCAGGAGCTCTAGAAAGAGGAGCAGAAAGATCAAGAGACACAATAAAGGAAGGGAAGAAAGAAGAGAGGGCCCTCCAGGAAGCAGGACGCCTGGCAACAGGAGTTTCAGAAAGAGAACGAGAAAAGAGAGGTCAGGAAACCCTTAGAGAAGTAATCCAAAGACGGCAGAGAAAGGAACGTGAATCTCCGATTTGGAAAGACAAACCCACCAAGGACAGCTGGGGGGATGAATGCAGGACCTGGAGGAGGAGTTCACTGTCCAAGTTCCCAGAAAGGAAAACCCCGGACAAAGAACCCAATCCTGGAACAATGGTGATGTCTCCACACGGGTTCCTGAAGCATTAAAGGAGGGTCCCTGAAGATCAGGGTCGGAGGTCTTGTCTAGAATTCTACACCCAGTCAAATTAGCAATGGAGATTCAGGACTCGGTGAAGAATGCTCAGACCGGCCAAGTTTCACAAAGATACCTGCCAGGCAACTTTTCTGGAAGCTGTTAAGAAGAGGAAGATGTGGGATCCAGGAGGCAAGAGATTGAATGCGAGAGAGAGGTGAGGGGGACCCCAACAGTGGCGCCGGCCAACCCCAGCCGCTGTCTACACAGAAACTGAACTGGAGCAGGTCATGAGGCTCAGGGAGAGGCTTCTTCAAGAAGATGGAATTTATGAAAGAAGTACTTCTCACGTTTAGTTACGTAGACAGGAGCTTTACCCAGCTGGGCACAGTTGACAATGGCATTAATGATGACTAAAAAAAAAAAAAAAAAAAGAACCCCCCCCCCCCCAAACCATTAACCTCAGGGAAAATAGAGTTGTCAAGAGGGGAAAGTCATCAGGGAGTACTATGTGGCTCACCTGGGAGCTCAGACAACCCAAAATGTGGGTGAGAGGGAGGGAATGGAGGGAGGGTCAAGTCAACAGTTTATGTCGGCCAAGTCGACAGTTAAGGCCTGAAACCAGAAAAATCCCAATAGAAGCCATTTCCAGGGAGGAAACCCACAAAGAATCCAAAAAAGAGTTGCAAGAGGTAGCAGGGAAAGACAGAGGACGGCGGGGTTTGTGACAAACCCAAGAGGACTCCCTGAGTCTCATGGGGCCACCTCTGACTCCCAGGCACTCCTGTCCCCTGCCGGGACCTGTGGGTGCCCACTGTTCCATACTCCCCACCCGCACGCCCCCCCCCCCAGCCTGCTGGCAGCACCTGCCTCCACCCTGCTGGGTGTCAGGAGAGCACGGCCTCCCCTCCCACTAAGTGTCCTGGGCAGACCGGGACACCCTCGGCCTCCTCTAGCTCCTCCTCCGCTCCCTGGTTGGGGGCTTCCTGTGGGTGGGGGTTGCCCACACCAGAAGCCCACTGAGTTTTTCTTTCTTTCATGTAACAAATATTTATTGAGCGCCTCCCCTGTCCCAGGCCCTGGGGAGAGGTCTGTGACCGAGGCAGCTGCAGCCTCTGGCCTCACTTTAAACAAATAAAGCCAGGAATACGAATCAAGAGGGGAGCCATGAAGGAAGAGAACCAGGTCTGTGCAAAGAGGGCCCCTTTTACCCATGGGGACCCGGGAGCAGGCGGGGATGGTGACAGCAAACTGAGCACCAGGGCTTGAAGAACGGAGGGAGGAAGTGAAGAGGGACAGATCATGGTCTGCTCCCCCCCCCGTGCCCCCACCATCACAGTGGCCAGCCAGGGCCAGGCTTGTCAGAGGACAGCAGGGAGAGCATCCCTGACCCACCTTTGAATGGAGATCGATGTCCCCCCGCCGGGGGATCCACATCTGCGATTCACTCCTCGCTTGGTTGGACGGGGTGCTGCAGCCCCGGGCAGGGAAAAGCAGGGGGGTGACGTCCTCTGCCAGGGACATCAGTCACTGCAGGTCTCTTCCCGCCCTGTCCCTCCACTTCACCCTGCGCTCACTCAGGCCTGCGCTGCTCCCACGGCTCTCAGGGACCACTCATGGACCGTGGTACTCGGGCCTCACTACTCAGACCCCAGCTGCAGCCACCACAGGCCAGGCTCAGGGCCACAGAGCTGAGGGCCGGTGACCATTCAGCACCCTCCTCCCTGCAACTGAGGAGGCCGTCCATGGCAGGGCGGGACCCAGGTGTGGAGCCTCCACCCGCCACCACAGGCCAACAAAGGCCTCCAGAGGGGCCTCGTGGGCTCCGGGCCCCTGCCCTTGCTGGGCCGCCCACCCAGGGTGGCTCCTGCTCTGGGTGACCCACTTCCAGTCCCCCTGGAGCCTTTCTGACCTCTCTCCTGCCTCCCGCTCACACACCCAGGGTCAGCCCAGGAGTGAGGAACCTTCCCTGGGAGGAGCTGCCAGGGTCCGGTCCGCCCCCATGCCACACCCCGCTGGGCTGGATGGTGTCACAGCTGACTGGGCCGAAGATGAAGGTCAGGGTGCTGTGGGGAGAGGGCAAGAGCCAAACGAATCGGCCGCCCACCCGTCCTGGCAGACAGTGACCTCACTGACAGCGCCAGGCTTGCCTTCACCCCCACCCCACATACTGAGCAGAGAGGTTCCCCCAGAGAGAGCCAGGGAACAGGGGCCGGGAGAGCCACAAGCCACAGGCATGGTCCTGGGCGAGGTGGTAGAGTACCCCAGAGTTCAATCCCCAGCACACACACACACACACACACACACACACAACTCACCCAGACCACACTCCAGGAGTGGATTCAAATCCAAGCTGACCCCAGATCCAGGGAGCCTCCTCCATTCCCCAGGAATCAACAAGCCCTTCCGGATCCATGGACTAGCCAGAGCCAAGGACACTGGCATTCCCAGTCTGGCCTGGCAGGCTGCCTCCCAGCCAGAGAGCGCCCAGACACCCACCCTTCCCACCTCCTGCCTGGGCCAGTCAGGGCAATGGGTCCCAAAGGGATAGGCCAGGCCCATCTCCAGGCCCCCAGAAGCCACTGTGGCCCTTCCCAGGGCTCAAATCACCCAGAACGCCGAGCCCGCTCCCACCCTCTGACATGGTCCCCTTTACCCATCAGCACCTCAGGGTGAAACAGGGTCAGAGAGAGGATAAGGACAACATAGGTAGGGTGACACACACACCCGGGGGGCAGGGGGAGCAACCACCTCCTAGGGTGGGGGCTGGGCGAGGGGCTGGACGGTTCCTTCCAACCTCCTGGACACACGAGGACCCTGGACCCCAAAGGTCTGGCATTCTGAAAGGTCATGGTTGTGGCAATTTTATATCTGCATCCATGTTTGAGCACCGACTACATACGCAGCACCCAACAGCACTGTGCTGACCGGGCGGTTAACCCATTTTTGAGGGTGCAGGGACTTGTCTGAGGTCCCCACTGGTAAGTGGCAGGGCTGCGATCCCACTCTGTGCTGACTGGGGCCACAGGGCACTGACCCCACAGTCCAGTGTCCTCATGCCCCACCCCACGTGGGCTAGGGGAGGTGGCGGCAAGGGGCTGCAGTGGGTCCTCGATTGGAAAACCAGGGGCCTGACAGCCAGTGAGCCCTCGGTCCTGAATTCTCCACAGAAGTTGTCAGATCACGGGAAGGAAGTCCCACTCTGGCCCCTGTCTCCAAGACCCCTTCCACGCTCTGCAGACAAGAGCGCCCAGTGTCCCTGGGGACGCTAGGAGGAGCAGCCCCTGGAAGCCGAGTCAAGAGGCCAGCACAGGGCCCAAGAGGGGCTGGGGTCCCGGACACTCCAGAAGCCACAGCCAGCCCTCTGCCTGAGGTGACAGGGAGCTCGGGCTCCAGCCACAGATGCAGTAACTTGGGAAGGGGCAGCCCTGGGTACAGGGTTCCTGCCCCTCGTCTCAGCTCTGGTCCAGGCAGTCCTTGGGTTCAAGTCCAAGCCAATCCCAGCTCCAGGGAGCCTCCTAGGTTCCTCAGGAGTCAGCAGGCAACTGAACAGTCACGTCACAAAAGTACAATCGGTCAACGGATCCATGAAAACATGTTCAGCATCTCTAGCAACTAGAGAAATGCAAATCAAAGCTACACTGAGATTCCATCTCACTCCAGTCAGAACGGCAATTATCAAGAACACAAGGAACAATAAATGTTGGCAGGGATGTGGGGAAAGGCACACTCACACATTGCTGCTGGGACTGCAAATTGGGGCGACCCTCTGGAAAGCAGTATGGAGATTCCTCAGAAAACTTGGAATGGAGCCACCGTTGGACCCAGTTATCCCATTCCTCAGAATAAAGACTTAAAATCAGCATACTACAGTGACCCAGCCACATCACATTTTATAAGAGCTCAATTCACAATGACCAAGCTATGAAATCAACCAAGGTGTCCATCAACAGATGAATGGATAAAGAAACTGTGGTACATATACACAAACGAATATTACTCGGCCATAAAGAAGAATGAAATTATGGCATTTGCTGGTAAATGAACGGAACTGAAGAATACCATGCTAGGAGAATTAAGCCAATCCCATAAAACAAAGGCAGAATGTTCTCTCTGATATGCAGATGCTAACACACAATAAAGAGGGGGAGGGAAGAATACAAGGTTATTGGATTAAATAAAGAGGAATGAAGGGAAGAGTGAGGGATGGGAATAAGAAAGTTAGTAGAATGAATCCCACGTAACTTTCCTGTGTTCACTATGAATCCACAAATATACGACCAGTGTAACTCCACATCATGGGAACAACCACCAGAATATACAAACCCCATATACGGATACTATGTCAAAATACACTCTACTGTCATGTATATATAAAAAGAAAACCAAATAATAATAATAATGATAATAATAATAATAATCAGCAGGCCTTTCTGGAATCCTGGACAGACCAGAGCCAGGGACCCAGGCGTCGGAGTCCCCGGTCT